GAGCTAGTGTCTGTTCACAAACCAGAATTCTTTAGCTGAGGGACTGAACTTGCCAGCAATTTAGTTACATTAGGAGCCAGAGTGAGCATTTGCAAGCTGAAGCACTGAGGTTCTTTTATCTTTCCAGTCAGTGCTGGTGCATGAAGTAAACAAAATCCTTACCTGCAATCCCATGGCAACGTAGTCATGTCTTTACTTTGGTATGCTAAGCAATTGGTTCATTCCTCCTAGAAAACCTCAACAGTTCTTTCATCTGAAAATCCTTTCTTGGGGTTCAGGTTGGAGCTGCAATTAAAATACAAAAAGATTATAAATGAATGACAAGAGAAAACAATTAACCATATTCATAGGAGAAGAGTTGAAAGGAAGGAGAGGCTAAGTTACAGCCCTCATACTTTCCAAAAGATTTCCAGCAAATTGTATCTTCTTTTATAACATCTGTGTGGATAAATTATAAAATCCTGGTGAAAATAAAATGTTCCACTGTGCAAACATCCCTTATTACATAAAAACCCTAGAATAAAAATAGCAACATTCCTTTGCAAAGACTGAATTTGAAAGCTGCCAAGCAAGATAAATACTTGGTCAAAAAGGAGGCTGCCTCCAAAACTAACACAAACTTCTTTAATTAATTGCTCATTAATTTGTTTCCCTCTAAGCCATTTTTGCTGACATGCATTACATAGCATTAAATACAATTTGTTTTACTGCTGCTCACAATGTTGCAACCTATTACTGGGTATGTTATAAATCTGTCATGTTCCCATACTGCACAGATTGAGCCCAAAATTGCCCAAGCATTGAAAAGGCTGAGTGCAGCATGAACCCACATTCTGTAGCCTTTCTGCAGCAGATATCAACAGATTCAATTCTAGTTCTCCTGCTGCTGTTTAAGTGTGTGTATGTGACACTAACATTGAATTTCTCTCCTCTGCCCATTGCCATTTCTGTGGAGAGAGGATGGGAAAGACGATAAAAATGGGGAGGAAAGGTGAAAGGGATACTTGTTACCTTCAACAGGTTGATTATCATTTATGAAGTTTTTTAAATACTTATCTTCAATTGATGAAGAGTTAGTCATGCCCATGCTGCAAGACCTGGATCAGGACCCAAAACTTCCCTAGAACTTTGAGAATCTTTATATCTGGGGGTTTGGTGCAACTGCAGATGGAAGTGAGGATCAGCCTCTGGGTTTGCACCTGGATCCAGACAGGTTGTCCCCAACCTGGGGATAGTTGGATCTGGCAGTTTGCTACAAGGCTAGTTGATTTTTATATATATAATGATCTGTATGCATCTTTACATTAAAAATATGAAAGCTTGTACTTGTAGATAATATATTTAAAAAATAAATAAAAAAGAAAAAGGAAATACAGTCTTTTCTGTACTGAACTCTCACATATTGATCTTCCATTAGATGTCTCCAGTGTTCCTTCCAGCTATTAAGGGGCAGTTCCAAAAGCCCAGATTTGTTTCTTACTTAATCTTTATCTAAGAAAAACAAACAGTGAATTTTACCAGAATAAGCACTGTAAAATTTGGATAATTTTACTTGAACTTATTTGGCTGTTAGTCCTGGAATAGAGAAGTCAAACAGTATCTACAGTGCGGCACAGCTCCAAATGTCCTTGCTAACTATTAGAAGGCTGATGAAAAATGTTACAGGGTAATTACCTAACCCCAGTGAAACCCACCAAAAGCTGTCCTGCCAACTAAATAACAAACCTTGATCTCAAGCTTCTGAGGTGAAATCCTGGGATAAGAAGCCTAGGAGATTTATGGTGCTGGTTTGGACAGAGGCAACTTTTCACCTGCTGCCAACTACACCCATGTTCAAAGGATAATGCAGTGTTAAATCTGAAGAGGAGGTACATAATATGTACCTTATGAAAGGTACAATATATGAGTGGTAAATAATCAGAGTGTGGGTATTAAGCTGTAGCAGAGGAAGCTTCAACACTAAGGAGAGGAGCTGTAATCCATTCTTTTCCCCCAAAACCTGTGCCAACCAAGTAACCCAAAGTGTGGTGAACAGGAGCGGGGGGATAAGAATGCCACAACAGGCAGAGCACTACATAAAACTGGGTGCAGAATCTATGCTGGGAGGTGAAACCTCCCAACACCAGTCACTGTCTGCCTCTGGAGCACTGCAAAGCAGCCTTGAGTTCTGTCAAGCCACACTATAACTTGCTCCAGTCAAAATAATTTCTCCTGCAAAGTAGCTGCAGTCAAAAAGGCTTTGCATGAACAGTCTTGGGGTTCCTTTTATCTTTTTCTTTAATGGCTCAATACATATGCACATCTTAAGAAGAAAAAGAAAAAGAGGCTTTAATTAAAAGAGGCTTCTTGGCATTTTGATGTATCTGCCTTTATGCTCTTTGCAAAATTAAACCCATAATGAAAACAGTGTTATCTTAGAAACTCTGGTGTTATGCATTTTATTTCCTCTAAAGATGCCAGGCACTAATTACCTCAGGCTATGAAAATTCAAAGCAGCAGCAGCTTGTCCAGTGCTGTGCAAGGTTTCTAGGAGGTGATAATGGTGTAAGGCCAGCTCAGCATGGTTTCTGCAAGCACCATTGCCCATGGGGAAGGCTGTTAATGCAGCTGGCAGCAGGAGGAGATGTGGCAGATTCCTGGGGCAGGACTCTGCTGTCCCTGGTGGGGTTTGCACGGGATGGGTAAAGCCCCTGGTCCCCAACATGTGGAGAACACACTCCAATGGCCAATTTCCCTCATCCACCTGAAGGATTTTCTCCTTTTTCAGTCTGAAGTAGACTGGCAGGAAACCCTAAGTCCACACTACTACTGGCTGTTTAACAAACCCAAGAATTTGAGGGGAGTTTGGCCTTTTTGGACTGGTCTCCTTCATCTCCAGCTTGATTCCCCAACACAGAATTTGCCTTTTGCTGTTTCCATCATATTAAATGAAGTAATTTTGAGTTTTGCTTGGTTGTTTGGGGTTTTTTTCAAATGGTAGCTGTCAATAGACTCTGATACCCATGGGCAAAGAGGCTGTATCACTTCTCAGAGGTCACTCTCACAAGGATGGAGTATTTGCTAATGCCTCTGGATATTAATTATTCACACTGAACACAGCAGCTCTGAAGAATTAGAAATAATTTTTTTTTTCAATAAGGGAACCTCTCATCATTGTAGTACAGACGGCTGTGTCAAGTACCAGACCTAAACCAGACTGAAATACTCTGCATCACTAGGAACAGCCATGGCCTGTCATGAAATATTAACATGCAGAATAATAAAAAAAAAATTGAAAACAATTTACAGGCAGACTTCAAATTATACCTCACAGAAAAAACCTGCACCTTTTTTCCTTTAAAATTTTATGTGGTATCAGGAATTTACAGAACCTCATTTCAAAATCCAACAAGTTCTGGAAACTAAGAATGTATCAGTAATGTAAAAAATAAGGGGTTTTATCAAACTCCTTTGTCACTACACACGATTGAACTCTCCACTCTGTTTCCTCTAGTCTGGTCAAAACTGTTATTACTACAATGAATATCAAGGAGATCCAGATGGAGCTTTTGATATTCATAAAAAACCAAAGGAAAAAAATAAAAAAAATTAAATAACCCTAAAGGGGCATAATCCAAATAAAGGTTGAATTTTCATTTTCCTGAAAAGCAATTGTAAGATTTCATACACTAGTGCTGGTACACAGGTGATATGAACAACTAAGTATTCAGAAACAGTGGAATATTTTGAGATTTTAACTTGGATTTCTTTTTGCAAATATAACTGTAAAGAAATAAAATTATTATTGTGCAACAGACATTAGGTCTGGAATTTGTAATTGCCAGGTTTTTGATATCCAGCTTTCAAAATATGAAGAGGAGAGAAGAGGAGAGGGAAGAAAAAGAAAACAGAAAAAGGGAAAAGGAAGAGAAGAAAAACAGAAAAAGGGAAAAGGAAGAGAAGAAAAAGAGAGAGAAAAAGAAAATAAAGAAGAAAAACCTAGTTTTAAAAACTCCAAATAATTTTTTCTTTGTTCTTAGGGTTTCTCTGTGCAGAGCTTTCTGCAGTTCTGCAGTTTCTCACCACAGCCAATGCTAGAACACAACACTGACACTTGCTATCCAAAAATCTTGTATCTGCTAAGGACAGATAGAATCTAAACCACACTCATGTAAACATTCAGCTCAATTCCAACCTGGGACAGAAGTTTACATCTACTTGAATCCAAATTATTTCACTTTTGCATTCAGGGTGTATTTCCCTTATTTGGAAGATAATTCAATTCAAAAGCAGTGAATGTTACTAAAAATATAAAATACACATAGTTTTACTATGTATTTAAAAGAAATCCATAAACAAAAGAATGCTTTGTCTGTGAGAAATGAAGAAAGCAAAAAAACATTAGATAGTTCTGTAAATATGAAACCTCTTGCAATAGACCAATAAGTTGCATGTAGCTTCTTTGCTTTTTCGATATTTGAAATAACCATAATAAACACAAAAAGCCTGCAACATCCTTTAGGGAATTTCTGTGAAGAACATTATTTCTTTGTATAGCTATTTATTCTTCACAGAAATAGGGTTAAAATGTTCAAGTTTATAACTCAATAGAAAATATAGCAGGAGTGGCAAAGAATTGTTTTAGAGAGGTAGAAAGGTAGGGAAGAGTGATATCCTCAGACTTCCTAGACAAGAATCTAAGTAAAAGCTCTGTGAAGGACTCTGACATTTTCATATACTGATGAGCTGTTACCTGAAGTGTAAACTCATATTTAAAAAAAAAAAATTATTATTACTGCAGGGAGCAAAGAAGAGATGGGTGAGATGGTGTATTTTGGTAGCAAACCATCAGATCTTTCCCTCAAGGTTAGAGCTGTTACCATGCTGAAGCAGAGTTACTATCCTGGTTTCAGATAATTTTCTTCAATAGTACTTAAACACCATTCCAATT